GGGGGGGCTTCAGATCCCCGCTACCTGGCCGGCACCCCGCCCTCCACTAGTGTGCAGAACGATCTCGTCCGCCTTCGGGGGAGGACATCGCTGGGCCCACAGGGAGTCACCCACACCCACATTCAGGGGCGGGGGAGAGACACGGGCCAAGGCGCAGGGTCCAGAGGTGGCAGTGACCCGGGACTGGCTCCAGGGACGGCGCGCAGCGGGGCTGCTGGAGCCGAGCGGGGCCTAGCTCCGGGACACAATGAGATGGCGCCCTCATCCTCCCGGGCCCCCCGGCGCCCCGCGGGTACCGGACGGCCTCCCTCACCCATGCCCATGCTCACCCACTACTGCGGCCGCGCCCGGAAGTGACTCATCAGCGTGCGCGACGCGGCCCCGCCCACGCTCGCAGGCCCACTAGTTCGCTCGTCCTTCCCCGGAAGTGAGGGGCGGGACTTCCGGCTCCGGGGCGCTTGGTCGGCTGCTTCCGCTTGGCGGCGCGGTCTCCCTGTTCCTCCGAAGGCCCTACAGGGCGGAGGTCCGGGGGCAGCGTATGGGGGCTTCAGGAGAAGACCCGCGGCCCCTCAGCCCCAAGCCTTACTCAGGGCGGCCGTCGGGCCTTCTGGAAGGGTGTCCTCAGGCCCCTGCTTGTGGGGCCTCGCAGTTGGCTTGAGAACGTTGAAAATGGGGTTCCACCTGAGGGTCCCCTTGGTTGCACCTTCAGAGACCCCGTTAGCCTCCCCGGAGGTGCTGTGCCTGAAGAGCCCCTTTGGGGCACCTCCTGGATACAACAGCGGCTGACACACACTTGGCCCTTCTCAAAGCCAGGCACCATTCTAAGCGCTCTGCTTGTAACAATTCGATCCAGTTAATCTGAGTTGAAATGCCTGCTGGTCCAAAGGCTGGAGGTTCACGCCCACTGCAGGCACTCGGAAGAAAGGCCAGCCCTAGAAAATGCTGCACTCACAGTCACTCCCAGGGCAGGACCAGGCGGCTTCAGAGGGTGGGCAGATGGATGGAATGAAAGGACAGTGGGAAATCTATACAAGCCTTTTGAATTTCCCTGGAATTATCCCAAGGGGCCCTGGGGGTCCAGTGGGTAGCATCAAGATCCGCAGTTTGTACCCGACGGCTGCTTTGTGGGAGAAAGATAAAACTATCTGTTCCTGTCAAGGGTCACAGTCTCAGAAACCCGCGGGCAGTTCTGTGTCCCACAGGGTCACCTGAGTGGAACCGGCTGGATGACAGGTGTTGAAGGTTTGATGGGAGTCCTGGACGTGCAAGCACAGAGAGAACCAGCCCGAGGCTCTGAGAAGGTGGATCTGGGAGGTAAACCCTGACCTCTAGATACTGCCCCTGCAGTGAGCGCCCCTGTAAAGGTGTGGCACGAACCGAAGAACAAGTGCTGGATGACTTCTGGATCTCCCCGAGGGTCTTCCGAAGCCCCCCTCGGCCCCCTAAGTACTCCTCATTTGATCCTCCAAGCTGGAGATGTTACTGGCTTTGGGAGGCCAGCGGTGAGAGGAATTTGAGCTGGGGGGAGCTGGCAGGACTGATGTTCCTTCAACCCTCACACTGAGAACCCTTCCTGCCCCTCCCCCGATAGTTCTGCCGCAGCCGTAGTTACCTTCCCATGGAAGCCCACCCACCTACTCAGTCCATAGGGAGCTGCGGCGCCCTTGATGGCCAGTGCACCCTTGCTTCACAGTGGGCTGTTCCCTTGGGTCCCCTCCCAAGTCAAACCATATGCAGCGGGCTCTCTTCAAAAAAGCTTGCTGGGCAGCCAGAAGGAGAAGGCGTGCATACCCGGCATTAGGGTGACCCCTGAGAAATCATGAAGAAATTTTGTTTTTGAGTATCTTTGTGGCCAGCCCCCCACCCAGGGGAAGATGATGAGCTCTAAGGAGGAGTATCGCAAAGTCTCAGCAGTCACGAGTTCTCGCTGGTTCTAAATGTAAACCCGCATCCACCTGTCCCAACCCCCACCCCCACCCCACACACACCTCAAGAAGAAATTGCCAGTGTTACTGCTTTGCCATGCCAGAAGACCTTTTAGAGGGCCACTCACTTCTATTCATGGACTTGTGCATTTTCTCTACAGGCAAATAAGCGAAAGCTGGCCAAAAAATCAACACACATTTGCAACTCTAAAATAGCCCCGTCTGTCACCTCTCTGAAAGGGGATGCAGTGGAGGAGGAGCCAGGTGGGCCGTGTTAAGCAAAGGCTGGTCCTCTGCTTGCTTTTTGTCCAGGCCTTCGGTGAAGATGGAGTTTGAGAGACGTGGGGGATAGGAAGGCTGTCCCTGACTCAGTTGGTTCAGGGATGTAGCTTCTGTGGCCTAAACTGCCACGAGGCAGGACTGAAGAAGTCCCCAGGAGAATGGATGAGGGACCTCCTGTCGGAGCTTCTCCAGGGCCAGAAGGTCATTGGCACCGGATGTGAGAACTCACTTCAGCTGGGAACCAAATCATAATTGAGGAGGGCGGGGGACTGCTTGGGGACTTATTGTTGAGGGGTGACAGTGGGGGACATATTTGACTTTGTCTTAGATTCAAGAACTCTGAGGGTATGCCTGCCACTGTGTTCACCTGGCGCACCAACAAGCACGAATGCCGATCTGATGGGCGGGTCATCCCTTCTCAGCCATTCCGGTTAGTTCACTGTGCCCTTCTTCAGGGCTGAGTGATTTCCCCAGCCCCGCCCTACAGAGAAGATCAGTTTTGGTAAGCTGTATCAAGGCCTGTCCTTTCATTAGGCTTGTCCATGTCCTCAGGCTCCTTTGCACTTCCTGCTCCAAGTCTAACCTTGCCAACCACTCGTAGTGACCAGGGCCTCCGGGCTGCATCCCACCCACCGTTCCCCAATTACCTTTTGTACTGTCACCCCATCAGTACAGCCAGAACACTCCTTAGAGGCCGGATGGCAAGATCTCATCTCATGGGCTTTGAACC